ATTAAATCTTGAAGTGCTTTAAATCGTGTATTATCACTATGATATATCAAAGTAAAGTAATGTCAAAATCTTCGTTTTCTATTATAAGTAATCAAAATTATCGTTATGATATTTTTAAGTGGCTGTGGCCAAAACGAGTTTTTGTGTTGATTGGCACTGCTAACCCGATCAAAGGCGACCACACACATTTCGCTGCGGTAAAGCAGGAATACATCTTTGATGGTGACGAGGAGAGTCGAAACGTTGGACCTCTAATTAAGCTTCGTACTGGCAAAGAAGAATGTACTAAATTACACTTACTCTCGCAGCATCAACCTCTTGAAAGCACTGCATGTAGTGTCTTCAAACAAATTGTAAATTTCCATCCAAAAAATCATTATTTGAAGTATGAAAGTGACATTTATTCATAAATTCATTTGATTTGCCTATTTCATCTGGTAACATCTTAGAATCGCCGCAGTGACTCAATTTGAGCCCGCCGATGCTCGAAAAATGGTCCCATGTTTCGATGAACCAGAGTTCAAAGCAGTTTGGAACGTTACTTTAATTCATCCAGCAGAGACAAGAGCAATCGCAAACACAATTGAAATGGACGTGACATTGTAAGTAAAAACTCAAACATGAATTTATATTGAGCAAGAAGAATTTAGTCATACAGCTACAGCGTAGCTCTGAAAAACTTATGTAAGTTTCTCATATTACTAGTTGGCTGGTTACGCTTGTGTTGTTATGTCGAAAAAAATTCTTCTCTTACGCAGAACGCACATCAATGTCATCAGTCGAGTGACAGATGAAAGATTCAATAAAATCTAGAAGAATCTTGCTATCTGATATAAGTTATGCCCCACTTTTAAATTTTGTTGCTCCATGTTAATTTCATGTACAGTATATTACGTTAAAGTTAAGCGAATGCTAAAGTATAGAACCGTAAATCTATTGAAATGTTTTGAGACCTGCCAAGTAATACAGTTCTTTTCAGAGTTATCTCCCTGGGAATCTCTACAAAGTTCCTCGACCCTTTCTTGATCGCAAATCCGCGATTGGCCGTATACTTTCTGTCCACTATTCTTGCATATTGTCTTGAAACACGTGAACTCTCCTAAAGAAATTAAGCTGCTTTCACCACTATTTAGCTCTTCCCACTTTTCAACGTACTGTAATATAATATAATGGCGTATAATATAATGGCGTATTTGGCCTTAATTCATTCCCTCAATTTTACAGTGTTTTTT